AAGAGGCAGCTGATCGGTAATTCTCTCTCATCGATGTTTCTAGCTTTCTATCCCTCTCTCTTCCTCTCTTTAAAAAATCAATAAAATATATATTAAAAAAAAAAAAAGGTTTGAGGCAAGTAGGCTGCACCACTGACCATATTTGTCTACAACTTCACCTTCTTCTTCCTGGGAACAGTACCTACACCAATTTGCTTAAGCACTTACTGGTGTGTGCTACCCACCTGCTTACTTGTCCAGTTTAGACTGGTTCCTGACTTTGGCATGCCACTTGGATTTTTAACTTTTAGCAGTTGTGTGGTGAGCATCCTTATATTCATCCTTTCACATTCAATTATTTCCTTAAACTGCATTTCCTAAATTGCAATTGATGGGTCAAAGCTTGTGTAAACCTTTAAAGCTGTTGATGGTAATTATGAGTAGAATGAATGGAACAATAAATTTCTATTAACACAACCTTGCTGGTATCAATATTTGTTTTAATTACTTTTTAATTATGCAATCTTTAATATCAAATTCTTCATAACATATGTGGGGTACAAATAAGGAGACTACATAATTCATTATACAAACCTTCAGGCTTTTGTCAAATCTTTGAGAGTGAAAGGAGATGTTATCATAATTACACGGAGTTAATGGACATAAACCAGGACTTTTATGGAAAAACTCGGCATACTCCCTTCCTTCTAACGAAGCATCATAGTAACACAAACACCCACCCCCCTCACAATCGGAGAGCTAGAACACGACCTCTGCCTTTTATCTGTCTGTTCCTTCTTTTCCCCTTTGCTCTTCTGAATGCTGTGTTTGTTATCCTAATGATTTTTTAAAATATTATTCAATGAAAATTATATATGTATTGCCTACAGGCTTTATTGTTTAGTTTTGCTTGTTTCTATGCTTCACGAAAATGATATCATTCTGTTTATCTCTTGCACTTTGATTTTTTACACAATATTATGTTTCTAAGATTTATCCAAGTTGTCTATGTAACTGAGTTCATTCGTTTTTATAGCTATGTAGTATTTATCATCAATTATTTATCCTTCCTCCTGTTAATGGGTTTCATGGTCCTTCAAAGTCTTTGACTTTACAAATCATGTTCTATAAACACCCCCCTCTGTACATGAGCGTGCATGTCTGAGGTGTCCCTCTGCCCCTGACTGTCCAGGAGGGGCACTGTTGGCTCACATGCCCGAGACTTTCAGTGCCACCAGAGGACAGAAAGTTGCGTTCAGAGACGCTGCGTTTTCACATTCTCAACTTCCACTTAGTATAACTTAAGATTTCCCATCTTTATTCAAGTATAATTGTTGACTCTTTCAATTGTATCTGATTTCTCGTTTACAGTTGTTCAAATGGAAAATAACACAATACTTAATAGCTAAAAATACAAGAATAAACTCTGTTCTCATACTCACAATTGTAAACCTACTCTTGTCCCACCCTGCACATTGAAGTCAAGTGTTGGTTTGATACATGTATACATTGCTAAGTAATACCCACAATCATGCTAATTAACATTCCTATCAGCTCCTAGAATATCATTTTCTTCTTGGGTGTGTGGTGAGGACACAGTATCTCCTTCCTGGCAAATTTCAGGTACACAATGCAGTATTATCGACTGTGGCCACCATGCTATAGGTTAGAGCTCCAGAATGTGTTCATCTTGTGTAGCTGGCACTTTGTGCTCATCGATACCCTCAGGCCTGGCAACCACCATCTGCTCTCCGCTTCTCCACGTTTCACTGGTTCAGATTCTGGGTGTGAGTGAGACCATGCAGTATCTGTTCTTTCTAGTCTGGCTCAGCTCACGGCATGATGCTCTCTGGATTTATTCACCTGTCACAAATGTACTACCTGAGATTTTTACCTAAACAGGGTAGGCTGATATTTCACCTTGGTCCTGATTTTCTGATTAGTGATACAGCTAAATATATACACTATAGATCAATTTTAGAAAGCTTGATGTCTTTAAGATTTGAGTTTGTTTAGGTCTCCTTTAATGGTGCTAACAAAGTTTTCTCCATGTGAGTCTTGAATAAGTTTTGTTAGATCCATTCTGTTCTATTCTATATAATAGTCTATTATAGTACACATATATGTCTGCATACACACATACATATTGTTGGTGATAGTAATTTAATTTTTTTTAATGTTTTCTGATTGTTGCTGGTGTATAAAAATCCAATTAATTTTTAAAAATATATTTTTATTGATTTCAGAGATGATGGGAGAGGGAGAGAGATTGAAACATCAATGATGACAGAGAATCATTGATTGGCTGCCTCCTGTATGTCCCATACTGGGGACTGAGCCTGCAGCCCACAACCAGGGAATGTGCCATTGACCAGATCAAACCTGGGACCTTTCAGTCCACAGGCTGACGCTCTATCAACTGAGCCAAACTGGCTAGGGTCCAATTAAGTTTCAAAATATTGACCTACTATTCAGCCATATTATTATTATTATTATTATTATTATTGTTATTAGTATTATTTAAATATATTTTTATTGATTTCAGAGAGGAAGGGAGAGAGAGATAAAACATCAATGATGAGAGAGAATCATTGATCAGCTGCCTCCTGCTCACCACCTCCTCCTGGGGATCGAGCCCGCATTCCAGGCACGTGCCCCTGACTGAAATGGAACCTAGGACCCTTTAGTCCACAGGCCAACTCTATCCACTGAGCCAAGCCAGTCAGGGCCATAATATTATTTTTAACAAAGCATGTTTAAGTCTTCAAAGTTTTCCAGATAGATAAACAAATCACCTGAGAGTATCATTTTTTTTCTTCCCAGTTTTTATTCCTTGTAGTCCCCCCTTGGAAGATAGTCTGTACTAACTAGCCCTCCAGACAATATTGGCTAAAAGTAGGGATGAGGAGATTCTGTCCTGTTCTTAATTTAAAGGGCATTGAATATATGTGGTTCCCATAACCATAGAGTTCATTGGTTTTGTGGTAAATATCTTTTTTAAGTAAAGGTATTTACCATTCCTAGTTTATTGGATTCTCTTCATTTTGAATGGGAAATGGATTTTATCAAATACTTTTCTGTGTCTAGTAAGATAATTGTATATTTTTCTATATTGACTAATTAAAATGATGCTTATATCCCTTTGTATTAATACTATTATTTCTCAGAAGTTTGTCATATTATTAGCTTTTTACAAACAAATTTTAAGATGTGTAGTCTTTCAATTGATCTGATTTCTGGTCACTCCTTTCTGCTCTCACATTTACCCCACCCCCACCCCGGTCTCACGGTCAGGGCATTTCTTTTCCAGCTCTCCGATCATCAGGTCTTTGGTCGGCTGGGCCGTGGCTGCTTCTGTGCTCTCCGCGCGGCAGGCGGCAGGGAGGTGTCCGGTGAAGAGCCCGGCTGGAGCAGAAACTCCGTCCTGGGCCCACGTACGCTGGGTCCAGCCGGAAGAGGTTGCAAGAGGTGTGGCCTGTTAAAAAAACCTTAAAATTAGCTGCCAACATTCGAGAATCGGAGATTTCACACAGACGTGAGGCTTCTTTGCACCCCGGGCTGCCTCTGCCTGAGGGGCCTGCACTCCGGCCCAGCACGGCCCCCGCATTTTCTCAGCTCACCTGGGGCGCCGAACACTGTTCTCACGTGCACCAGAAAACATGTCTGTTGTGCTTCTCCTGAAACATGCACCTTCCCATGTGTATCCCGTCCACTGAGCGGGATAGACATGCGAAGGTGCAGGTTTCGGGAGAAGCATGACAGACATGTTTCCTGGTGCACGAGGAGACTGCCTGAGAGCTCTGCATGGAATGAAGTGTGTGTGTGTGTGTGTGTGTGTGTGTGTGTGTGTGTCTTTGTGCGTGTGTGTCTTTGTGTGTGTGTCTGTATGTGTGTGTGTCTGGGTGTGTGTGTGTCTGTGTGTGTGTCTGGGGATGTGTGTGTCTGGGGATGTTTATGTCTGGGGATGTGTGTATCTGGGTGTGTTTGAGTGTCTGGGTATGTGTGTCTGTGTGTGTGTGTCTGGGGGTGTGTGTCTGGGGGTGTGTGTGTCTGGGGGTGTGTGTGTCTGGGTGTGTGTGTGTCTGGGTGTGTGTGTGTCTGTGTGTGTGTCTGGGGATGTGTGTGTCTGGGGATGTTTATGTCTGGGGATGTGTGTATCTGGGTGTGTTTGAGTGTCTGGGTATGTGTGTCTGTGTGTGTGTGTCTGGGGGTGTGTGTCTGGGGGTGTGTGTGTCTGGGTGTGTGTGTGTCTGGGGGTGTGTGTGTCTGGGGGTGTGTGTGTTGAGGGTGAGCAGGGGGATGGACTCTCAGGGCAGCAAAATGAAGCCACTACATTTCTCCTGAACAGCCCGCTCCCTCATGCCCACCATTCCTGTGAGCTCAGGAGGAGCAGACACGGCCACCCGGTGACCTGACCGCCCCTGCTGATGGCTGGGCCTGGGCAGGGTGGTGCCTGCGCATGGGGCATGGCACAGGGCACCGGGCACCGGGCACAGGGCACAGTGCGAGGAGCACGGGCTGTGGGCGGCCAGTGTCACAGCCCCGCCCTGGTGCTCACCGCTGGGTGGACTGTGGGAGCCACACACCAACTAAGCGTTGTGATGGAGCTAAAGTAAAGGTCATCTGTGGAACAGCTGTCAGTCTGCCCACGGTGGGACGCACATTTTTATAACTGCATTCAGTATTAGCTGGTTTCCTTATGTGAGGAATTTAAAGTAAAGGGGTCCTTGGCACACAAACTGTGGGCCGGGAGGGCAGCTTCCTGACCTCCTGAAGGCAGGCACTGACCCTGCAGGAGGTGGGCGCCAGGCAGAGGCCTTTGCCCACATCCACGACCCCCCTCCCCACCCCAGGCCAGGTGTCTGGGCAGGAATCTGCACCCAGCTGTCTTTCTGCCCTGTGCTGTGTGGGAGGGCTACAGGAGACCGTGCTGGTTAAAAACAGCACCCAACAAGTCCCAGGGGGCCTGACTGTGGGCACAGCCCTCCCCACTGGCAGAGGAACTAAGTGGGCGTGGCAGTGGCTTCCTCCTCTTCCGTCAGTGGGCTTGGCCGAGGCCCCAGGAGTTCGGGCCACACAGCCTGCTGCTCTGCAGAGCCTGGAGCAGCCAGCATGGGCTGGGCGGCCGGCCTGCTGAGATCCCTTCTCCTCCTTCTGAGTAAGTGAGGGTGTGGTGAGGGTGGCAGGGAGTGGGGGGACTGGATGAGACTTTGCCCGCTGGGGCCCAGTCCCTGAAGCATGGCTGTGTCCCTGTGGACAGATGGCTTTGCTCACTCGATGGACAGTGAGCATTGCTCTTGTCTGGTTCATTCCAGCTGCAGCTCACAAGTGCTCCCAGGCCTGGGAGGACTGGGCAGGGTCACGTGGCAGAAAGCACTCTGCTTGGGACCCAGATGCCTCTGGCTGTGACCCTGGGCTGCTCCGTGGCCCACAGACAGCAGCAAACCTCAGGCCTGTGAACAGCAGTTTCTGAACCAATAGAACAGGTGATAGTGCTTATCTTTGAGGATAGTGTGCACGTTACGTTGAATTTAATCAAGTCAAATCAAAATAATTCCACAAGATGGGAAAATTCAGGCGGGGGGAGCGTCTGCCAGGAAGGGAGGCGGCCGCTGCCGCAGTGACACCTTCGCTTCTCAGTCACCTCTGACCCTGGGCCTCAGGGAAGGACCAGGCAGAGGCAGAGGCCGTGAAAAGCGCTGCCAGATGTGGAGGGAGCAGCAGAAGCCAGTGACACAGGAAGAAGCCGAGAGCGGCAGAGGCGAAGGCACAGAGGGCGTAGAAAGACGCTAGAGGGAGGCAGCAGAGGGGCCAGAGCCACGCAACTTGGCCAAATCCCCTTTGCCAGCAACGTTCCCTCTGAATAAGGCACGGCACCCTCATGTGACAAGGATGCTCTCCCAGAGCGAGCCCTGGGCCAGGACTCAGAGGCAGCAGGCGGCCCACAGTGACTCACAGGAAGGGTCTCTGAAGCTGGCAGCAAGCCCCACGGAAAGCTGACAGACAGACAGACAGCGCAGCACCTACCACATGTACCCGTGGGAATACTCCCGGGCAGTGGCAGCGAGGGACGGTGAGCCAAGCGAGCAGGACTGGGCCCGCAGGCAGCCCGAGCCCAGTGAGGCGGCAGGAGATGGCAGCGGTTCTAGCCCGCTCCTGCTTTCCACCTACTTAGGTCATTTGTGCTGCGGGAACGGAAGTTAGGTTTAAGAAACTCACCCAGGAAATGTGCAGATTACACAAATAACTACAAATAGGTAGTAAGCATTCACAATGCTCGAGCTCACCAATCAGAAAGGAAGGTTCGGTGCTTCCCCGGTCCGCTAGGCTGCAGTCCCCGGTAAACGCCGCCTGCGCTCGCTCAGCGCCCGCAGCAGCTGTGCAGCGGGCCGCTCTCCCTGCGTTTATGTGAGGCTGTTCGGACTGGGACTGGGCCGCGGCACCCAGCCGGTGGTGCCTGCAGAACTCCTAGCAGAGAAGGGTAGGAGTGAGCCTCTGCTCCACCCCCCTGAGCAGCCACCCTGGCCTGACCGGGCAGCTCAGAGAGGGCAGGCCACTCCTCTCCGCTGGTCTGTGACCTGAGGATGCTGACAGCACGTGCCCAGGGCTGGGCAGGGAGGTCGCGTGGTCCCGCCTGCAGAGCAGCCAGCACGCAGCCAGCACTGACAGGAGCTGCACATTCACCAGTGGATGCTCAGGGAACGCATTGATCCAACCTTCCCAGAAGGCAATCTGGCAATAACCCAGAAATCGCAACTTCAGGGTTTATCTTAATGAAATAATGGGGCAAAGCTCCCCAAATATTTAATAGCACTGCTGACCACAGGGAAAGTGGAACAAGCAGTGAGCATAGGAGTCCGGCGCGGCCCCTCATGCTCTGCGGCTTCACACGCTGCCCGGGGTGCTGAGTGAAAGACAGCCCTCAGGGGCCCTCACGCACAGAGTGCCACGGCCAGCCCGGCAGGCGCACGACGCCTGTTTGGGGACTGTCTGCTCACCTCACCCAAACCTGACTGGCAGAGGGTAATAGCACCTTTATTCTTTCCATGAATAGGAGGATCAGGCATTTTTTTAGTTTCTCTGTATTGAAATTTTTCATAATGAACGTATATATCCATAATTCCAAAATAAATTTCTGTGAACAAAATAAAATAGCAAGGCAGTCCATTGAAAGCAGCAAGGGAAAGGGTTTCTCCTCTCTGGGCTGGTGGGAGGAACCTACCGGGTCACCCCGTACAACTTATTAATGAGTGGCCCGGGAGGACTGGTGCCAGCCGGTCCCTCCGGGGCAGAGTGAGCAGTGGGTGAGGCCTCAGGGACCGCGAGAAAGGAGCATCTCTGCCTGGCACCCCCATGGCATCAGGGGACCCCACACACAGCAACTGGAGAGTTTTTAAAACACAGTTTTTTAATATCCTAAAGGTATTTTTTGTTATTAATCCTCACCTGAGGATATTTTCCCCATTGATTGTTAGAGAGAGTGGAAGGGAGAGAGGAAGTATGTGTATGTGTGTGTGTGGGGGAGGTGTGGAGGGGGGGAGAGAGAGAGAACGAGAGAAACATCCGTGTGAGAGACTCATGATTTGCCTTGACAGGGAATTGAACCTGTGACCCTATAACACAGGCCAGGGCTAAAAATACTTTAAAAATATAACAAACATTCATGGGCCCAACATCATGAATGAATGAACACATTTAAAACTTTGGTTGTTTTAAAGGTAAGTGTATTTAATAGTATCTAGATCACATGTGTCAAACACAAGGCCCGCGGGCCAAATCCGTCCCGCCAGGCCTTGCAATGTGGCCCGCACCGCGCTGTCATCACTGCACTCCGCTGCGTTTCCATCACAATGACAGTTTATGACTGTTCAGTAAACCATTCGGCCCGCGATTTAGGCTGGATTTTAGATTTTGGCCCCTTCTCTGATTGAGTTCCACACCCCTAATCTAGATGATAAGTTGACATATTCAGCAAAGAAACCACATCAGAGATGGAGGTGAAGCCTTTGGCTCCCTCCTCTGTCTTGCTTCCTCCTCCCCTGGCCCGTGGCGCCTGGGTTTGGCTGTACATCCTTCCTGTGCCACGTTCTAGGTGGTAAGACGTGACCTGGGTGCACACAGCACACTCTGACCAAATGAACCAGACATACCGGCTGTAGCTGCCTGTGTCCTGTCCCGACACTACATGTAGCAGCGTGGCTGTCCATCCCGCTGCTGGTGGGCTGAGGCGGTTCCTAGCTCCCCCACCAGCCCCCGGGTCCTGCCCGGCCTCGGTGCAGTGTGGTCCCGGGGTGCACCTGGGAGGGCGATGCTGAGTCATGGTGTGCACTGTGTTGGTTGTTGCCAAATTGCTTCCCGTCGGGAGGGCCGGCTCTCTATCCCCACAGACCCAGCCATACTCGCTGTGATCAGACTGCTCGTGTTTTGCCGATGAGAGGATTGTAAAATGTTATTGCCAAGTTTTCAGGTTATGTGTTCCTGATTACTAATGAGAATAACCACTTTCCTATATTTACCACACAGTTAGGTTCCTTTTTCTGTATATTTCATTTTAGTTTTATTTGGTTATTGGTCTTCTGTGTATTTTTTCTGGATATTAATTATTTGTCTGTGCCATGTGTTGCAAATATTTGCAAATATCTCCTCTCAGTATGTTGTTTATCTTTTATCTTTGTGGCATCCTTTGCTTTGCAGAAGTCTCTAAATGTGATATAATCAAATCTATCAGAGAGAGAGAGAGAGAGAGAGAGAGAGAGAGAGAGAGAGAGAGGAAGAGAGAGAGAGAAAGAGAGAGAAAGAGATAGAGAGAGAGAAAGAGGGAACTTTCTTCCTGAGCCATTTGAAAGTAAGTTGTACACACGTTATTTTTTATTTTTATTTTATTTCTTGTATTTTAGCCCCTAAATGCATTCCTGTGTATTTCTCCGGAGGTACTCTCTTACATAACCACAGCACAGCGAACAGCTCAGGAAATGTAGCAGTGACAGATGCTGTTACATAACCGCCGTGGCCCCGGCTGACCCATGGCGGGCGCCCTGTGCAGCTTCGCTGCGCTGCACTGGAGCCAAAGCCGCGGAGCCGGCACGGGGCAGCCACGCCCTGCGCCTTCTATAACCTCACAGCTCGGCCTTGCTCTTTCTCGACGCTGGTGTTTTAGACGCGTCCATCCTGTCCTCTCACAGGACACTTTCACAGAACCGTGGGGCTGCACCACATCCTGAGGGTTGGACTCTGGTTTCCCTTCTCCACCCGGAACGGCCCCCTGCCCGCGCCCTGCAGTGGCACACGGGGAGCCGCAGGGCGCCAGTCAGAGAGAGGCTGGTGCTTTGGGCACAATGACAGGAGACTTACAATGAGGCTTTGGCTTGTACTTGTCACAAGGCTAAATAATTATTTGCAACTTAACCATCAAACGATCAATATTTTTAAAGTTTGCTAAGATATTGCTCTAAGAATAGCAATTGAAAACACCTGATAAAATTTCTAGACATTTTATTAGAGGTTTGCACCTTCCTTTTTATTTTTCTTGATTTCAGAGGGGAAGAGAGAGGGAGAGAGTTTAGAAACATCAATGATGAGAGAGAATCATTGATTGACTGCCTCCTGCACACCCCACACTGGGGCGAGCCTGCAACCTGGGAACGTGCCCTAGCCAGGAATCGAACCATGACCCCCCGGTTCATAGGTCGACGCTTAACCATTGAGCCACCGGCTGGACTGCACCTTCCTTTTGAAAAGCTGGCATGTGATATATTTCTATGGACTCTAATTCCAACCCAAATGCCAGCCATCTGTCTCCATTTTAATCTGTTGAATAGCACCCGCTGAAATCTATGCATTACTATAATCACGTTAATAAAAGAAATACAATATCACTTTAATTATGTTCCAGTTGCCTAAAACATCCTTCATTAAAAGAGCCAGAGTTATTGAAGAGAACAGCCTTTTCTCTCCCCTTAATTTATAATGAAAAGATGGCAGAGGCAGGGTGAAGAGAATTAAATTCGTTTTTATCTTACAAGTCAAAGTCATCACTTTATTCCTTGGCTCAGAGGTCCCTGAGATCTTTGTAAAAATCTTTCCTGACAGCTTTCCCGGCTCCAGGTTCCTGCCAAGAGGATGGCTCAGATGGTGTGCGGATTCCAGAGAGAGAGAACT